GTGCAATTGCACGCGCATTTGATGTCATCGTGTGCGCGTGCAATTGTACTGAATCCTTATACAACCGCGTTCGCAACCGCTTTGCGAACGCGGATCCGCTTCCAGTGTGAATGAGCCCTTACTGAGGCCGACCGCTCAACGACCGCTTGCGCGGAGCGCTCGGCATCTGCCTGGGCAAAGGGCTGGATCGCGCATCCCCGCTTGGTCGCTGCAGCTGCAGCGCGAGAGTGAAGCCACCGATCGGCGATTTTGCATGTTGAAAAATCGCGTTTTTGGAGCGTTGCGGAGGCTGGTGGCAACATGCTCAAGACACGTTTTCTACTCTTTCGTGCTCATTCGTCGAAGAAGCTCTTTAAACCCCTGTGTTAAGCGCGAGACACATGCGCGAAAAAACCATCCGATCCGACGTCCAATCCGGCAGTACGACTGCCTGATCCGAAAAATTTGGTCGCATCAGACGTCGGATCGGCGATCCGACGTGCGTCCAACGCGCCAGATAGTTTTGCACGGCGGACGGATTGTCGGATGCGTCGAGCCAATGACAGCACAGCTAGCGCGAACGTCATGATGACGTACTGGGTCTGGCGGGACGAATAAGAAAACGGAACGGGCGACGGGAAGCCGGACGCGTGGATCCCTCTGACCCATTCGAAATAGATGGCCCCGGCAGAGAATGCACGCGCTAGCGAGAACAAGCTCCCAACTTCGCTCGTGCAAGCTAAACCGTCAATCTAGGACCAGAGATCTTTGAACGCAAACCTACGCTGGAGTGCTTGGATCTCCTGGGCAGAGCCGAACGGATCGTCGTGTCGCATGCAAGGTCGGAAACGTGTGTCTCAAACTGTCGCGTGCGGCAATTCGGAGCGGCGTTCGGACTGTCGGATCGGACGACTCTGCCGTCCATGTGTCTCGCGCTTAAGCCCTGAGACTTGCCGTTGAGAACATGTGGAAATGTTTACGGAAGCGCAGTGCCGCAGTAAAAATGCCCAACTCATCGAAAGCAAGTTTCGCCGCCACGATGCAACGCGCGGGTCACGAGTGACCCGCGCGTTGTATCATTGGGCTTTTTCCATAATGCAACGTGCGGGACCCTTGTGACGTCACACGTGACGTCAATTGTGACGTCATTATAGGAAATGTCCCATAATGCAATGCGCGGGTCACGAATGAGACTGCACATTGCATTATAGGACGTTTCCCATAACTCAACGCGTGGTTACGCCGACGGCGACGTTGGCGCCGCCGACCCGCGCGTTGCATCATGAGACGCTTTCCATAATGCAATACGCGGGTCACAAATGAGACGGTGCGTTGCATTATGGGACGTTTTCCATAACGCAACGCGCGGTTACGCCGACGGCGATGTTGGCGTCGCCGTCGCCGACCGCGCGTTGCATCATGGGACGCTTCCCATAATGCAAGGCGCGGGACCCTCATGACGTCACACACGCCGTCATTATGGGAAACGTCCCATAATGCAATGCGCGGGTCACAAGTAAGACCCGCGCGTTGCATTATGGGACGTTTCCCATAATGCAACCCGCGGTTACGCCGACGGCGACTGCGACGGCGACTGCGACGGCGATGCCGCTCAAGCCGGAAACGGGCGTCTAAGAGCTTCTCTCTAAATATTAATAGATGTAAACCAAATTAAATTTTCATTCCACAGCCATGTTTGATACCGTCTTTTTTAACAAAACTGAAATAAGCCTTTGTTAACTGGTTTAAGGATGACGCGGCGTTAATAATAGGCCAAGGATAATATTAGGTGTCATCTTTTAGCATTTTGAAGACATATGTCCAACATAATGGTTATTTGTAACCATCATATAGTTTCTATATCAGCGAAAAAGCCATGTCGGTTACATATCAAAACTTGCATGGCTCGAATGGCATGAGAAAGCAGGAAGAAAATGTTGTCGGTCAGTCACCGAAAACTCCGTGGCTGAACTGGCCGGTGATTACAGAAAGAAAACGATATCGGCCAGTCGCCGGAAACTCCATGGCTAGACTGGCCGCTGACTACAGCAAGAAAACGATGTCGGCCAGTCACCGGAAACTCCATGGCTAGACTGGCCAGTGACTACAGCAAGAAAACGATATCGGCCAGTCACCGGAAACTCCATGGCTAGACTGGCCGGTGACTACAGCAAGAAAACGATGTCGGCCAGTCACCGGAAACTCCACGGCTAGACTGGCCGGTGACTACAGCAAGAAAACGATGTCGGCCGGTATCGGGAGCTTTCCGGCTGGCGCTGGCCAGTTTAGACAACGAGTCCCCAATATCGGCCGGGATCGGTTTCTTACCGGCGTCCCTGGCCGGGATCCGCCGTACAGCTCCCGGTACTGGCCGACGTAATCCCAGTATCGGCCGACATGGTGTGCTACCTGGGTACGAGCGATGAAAACAGGCACCCCGCGGGGCCCGTTTTCCCCGAGTTGGTTTGGGTGCGGTGCTTTCTGCGTCTCAAACGCTCTGGTGCGAACGTTCTAGCCGCCAGCGAAGTTATTCGAACACCCAGGGGTGACACGGAAGGTGTTGTAAAACCACCATTTCAGCTAGCAACAGGCGGGTCTGCACGAGCAACAACGACGGTGCCGAGAAGCGGCGGTATGACTACGAGCGAGATTGGTTTGGTGTTGGTGGTTTGAGTTCAACGTGGGGATTCTGTTTGCCGGAACGTTACTGCCACAGCCGATGAAGGGGTTAACAGGAGGAATGTCGAAAGGATACCGAGGCGGTTGACTGTACCGGGGAGACCTGTGGCGTCGTCAGGTTGGTCGAGCCATCCTTTCGATGCCGCCGGCAAGCGAAGGAACATGTTTTGTGTCACGGAATTCCTCTGCTCGGTTAGTATTTTGGACTGCGTTGGTAGGTATTTAATCTCACGCATGATGTTTTCGGAAGCTTGGGAATAACGCTTTGTCACTGCTCATTTCAATGTCACGGTAAGAAATTGCATTCGGTGACATTTCCTTGGCACAAAGTCAATAAAACATCTCCGTGTTTTTTTTTTTTTTCAAACGAGAGCGCGAAGTTTTCATCAAAGGTTGTCGCGTTTCACACAAGCGATTTCCGCTAGCCTTTTCTATTCAATCTGTTCAACCTGGGCAATCAAAAACCGCACAAATTTGACGGGTTTTTAAATTTCGGTTTGCTATCCGAGCGCATCTCGGCCCCGACGGCACCGCGCCCCGTGAAGAAATAGTGACATCAGCCTTTGCTGCGTCGCGCGATGACAGCACAGCAGAGGTTATTTGCGCTATTTTTCCACGCGGCGCGGTGCCGTCGGGGCCGAGATGCGCGCCGATAACAAACCGAAACTTAAAAACCCGTCGACTTTCTGCGGTTTTTCCAGAAAGCCGTAAAGTCCTTCGCGCGCCTTCTATCGTTCTGCAATTTGTTGATTTAGTATTTTTTTCATGATGCTGAGGAATTTTCTAATTGAAACCATGCCCTCAAAAGGGCCACGAAACGAATTCTGGGATGGGATAAATTATTTTAAATTGGGGCTTTACTAATCGGATATCGTTTAGTTGGCCAAAACAAAGAGGGTAGAAAGTCAAAAGCCAGCTTTTTGGTACGAACATTTGAAAATATACCGGATTATTTTGTACCTTTTTCTTTCGAAAGCTCTGCGCCGTTTCACTATGATACATCCGGGGTTCCCAAAGCGCGTCAGCGGTGCCATCCTGACGTCAGCCGAGCCCAGCTTACGCATTGGACACGAGAACTGCGTCACTCGGACGTATGCGTTCGTCAACAATAAATCCGTCGACGAATATTCGGATTCACGTTCGTGGCCAATGAGTGCCCTGACGGAACTTATCGTCACTGGGGAATGACAAGTTCTATGGTGTGCATAAAAAACACGGTGGAAGCTGGGAGTGATCGCACCGGTGCCGAAGAATGTCACGACGACGTGATTTCACAATTCGCATTTGAGTAGAAGATTAAAGTTAAGGAGGAAGAAGTAGGAAAACCGTTTCGTGACCCCTTTAAAAACAATATTAAGAAAGTTAATTACGCAAAAATAATTAACCACTTAAATATCCCGGGCTTTAATAATTTTTCTAATTAGGCTCCGGGCCCAGGACCACAACGACACAAGCTTTTTTTGTTGCGACGCGTAGTTTTTGCAATATCGAATTTGTCCACCTTTCGTAAAACCTTTCGTATATATATATATAGAACGGGCATGTTGGCGGGAGGCCGAAGGCGTGAGTATAAAACTGAGAAGAGAAAAACCCTTGGTGAAAACAGCAGCAACGGACGATTTAATCTTCGACGTTTCGGCCGGAGTCCGGCCTTCGTCAGCACTCATCGGGGCGCGACCTCGGCAGTCGCAGCTCGACTACATTGGGGGCGACCTCGGCAGTCGCAGCTCGACTGCATATATATATATATATATATTCAGTTGGATTGCGTCAAAATAGCAAGCACGGCGTTGCTAGTGTTGTGAACATGCGTTCTGCGGTAATGTTTTTTTTGTATTTTTTTATATATTATTACTGTGATAGTAATATAACGGTAGCACAAAAACTTTTGCGCAGAGCTTCTTGTTGTTTTATTTTTAATCAGAATATTTTGCGTTTTGGGCATCAATAGTGCGTTTTAATGCGAAGTACTACTGCCAGTCGCTTTACGTTCGGAGCCAATGGTGGCCCAGGAACTATGTGCGTCGCGCGACGGGCTTTTGCGACACACCAATATCGCCGCGTATCGCCAGCCGGTGCGTCATGTGGAGCGCTGCGCGGCGCTCAGTTTCACCACTCATCTGTCCTTCGCTGTAGCCCAGGCAGGCATGTGGACCTTGCAACACCCACTGGTGTACCAATGCAGTCGAGCTGCGACTGCCGAGGTCGCGCCCCGATGAGTGCGTGCGACGCCGCCGCCAAAGGCTCGTGTATCTGCGCCGAGTTAGATCTGCGGGGTGCCTAGAGGGGAAAAACCGCGCTACTTTAGCGCTGGATGTGTGGCGCCATATCATAACGGTCCATTACACTAGTAGCAGTCGTCGGCGTATCTCGGGCAATGAGCCAAACGGGAGGAGGACGAAAGCCGGAAACGTTGTGCAGCACCGCCTCCCTCGCTGCCGACAGCGCTTGTCCTTTTTCCTCGAAGCTACACGAAGGCATCACCTGTAAGTTGCAGCCTTTCGCCGCTCAGGCGCCTTTGTATAAATGTTTTCAGCGCCAGAAAAATGTAGGTCAAAACCAGGGTGTAAGATAGACAGGTGGTGAAACGAGAGCCTTATGAGCGACCGGATTGTGTCCCCCTCGGTTTTCTTTTTCTGTGGCGCCATCTATGTGGAGCACCGCGAACTCTCACTCCAGGTGGGCGAACGCTGGCGACCGGTTAAACTGACCGAGAAGGTTTCTCGTGGATTTTCAATGGAGGACTGCCGTGCTCTCAGTTTATTTTGCGCACTCTCCCATAAAGTTCCATGCAAATTCGATTCCAATTTTTTTTTCTCGCCGCAGCGCCATCTGTCGCAAATCGGGGGTACCCGCAAGCCACCCACAAGCAGACGAGTACACAATCCGGTCACGGCGCTGCGGTAGGTTTCTATGGGCCGTTTCCCCACCTGTCTCTCTTACACCCTGGTCAAAACGTTCGACTGGTGGTACGACGCTCTGGAAAGATGTCCGGGTCTGACCTGGCGCCGACAATTCCTGTCGCGTAAACGCGTGTGCCGCCGACACCCGGTCGGACCCGGCCATTTTCCGTCCTGTTGCTCAAGTTTTCCGACGTTCTGTTGAGCATGTGTGTCACCCTGTGTTGCGTGAAGATAATAACCCCAGTGGACACACGCTACGGGTGTTATTTGTGCCTCCTATTTAATCATAATTTGTTTTGTGGTTTGTTATTTGAACGGTATATGCCACACGTTTGCGACTTTATCGTGTGTGAGGAAGGGTAAAAAGGGAACAACGACGAGTCCTTGGAGGCAAAATATTCGGCTGAGACCCGTGTGTGTATGTTCACTGATTGGAGGCGAGTCTTGAGTGAACGCTGAAGCAAAATACTGGTGTTGAATTCGTACCCCACGTTGACCTGAAGGTGACGCTTAAACTTCGGCACATCGGGAAATGCTGATTGTAGACGAACAATTCAAGTGGCTGCTCGTGCTGCGCGAGGGCTGTAGTGACCAAAAAGTACAGCGCTCCTTCGCCCCCCCCCCCCCCAACCCAAGAAACCCAAAACAAAAAAAAAAGTTTGAAGTGTTCTTTTTTTTAGTTTTTTACAAAAACAAAGAACGCATCTTCAAACGTTCATTTTGTGCTCAAACGTAGCGCTAATGGTTCGAACCAGACGGCGAAGTTTCAGAACTAAGCATTATCTTGTTCAAAAGTACGAACCGACATTATGAAAATTTTAATGGGAAAATAGGTCCCGACTTCGCCGTTTACGGACACTGGCACTATTTAGCGCCATGCACTCAAGAGCTCCGTCGGCCGCCAGTTTCTCATTGAAAAGTTGAAAAAAAATCACGTAACTTTTGAACAAAATAACCGATAGTTCTGGAACTTGGGCATCTGGTTTGGGCAGCTAGTGTTAAATTTGGAACGATAATGAATGTTCGACGATGAATAGTTTATTTTTTCTCCGCACAAACATGTTGTAAACTCTTTTTGGGACACCCTGTACTATCCCGACCACACTGTCCAGCGTAAACAGCTTATGCTGTAAATATATGCACATAACAAATCTGGCAACAAGAAAATTGGCAATAGCATCGTGGCGCTACTCGGTGTTTTCATACCTAATCTAAGAAAAACATATAATCTTACTTATCTAACATATAGTAGGTTTTTTTCACCACACTAATGTTGAAGTCAACCAAGATCAAATGCTACATTTAGGCTGCTTGATGATTCACCGAGCTTTGTCAGTTGTTATAAATAGTTCAAAACGAAATACGCACTGTAATATTCATCTAAAAGTGCAACGCATGGACAATTTTGTTTAAACTGAATTTTTTAAGCATATCTTGATGCCAAAAAAAACAAAAAGTCAAATATGGCATCTTTGATTGTGTGGTGACATATTTGGAGCATTGTATCTTCGGATTCATCATAGCCTTTGCTTATGAAATACTCTATGCTCAAAAAATATATACATGTTCTATCTAATTATTTTAGTTGAATGACATTTCACGAAACACTTTATATGCCATTTTTTATTTCGAAAAACAATCCATTTTTAATTATTTCATATGTTTTGTATTGTTCTCAATAATGGACAGTTTCGGTGTGCACAATCAATATTTCCCTTTTAGTTGTGTATTCAGTAGAAGTGCTTACGTGAAGTATTTTCACTAGAAGTGTTCCTTGCATATTCCCGATCGTAACGTTCGACCAATGTCGCTAGAAATGATCAGTGCAACTCTTTTCATTGTATTTAATGACCCCCTATTTTATGATCAGTATTCCTATTTAATTGCAGGGAACTACGAATATCAACAGATTTGACGTTCATCGCCCACTATTAGGAATTCAACTGCTCAACTCTGCTTCCCAAAATGGCCGTGGAGGTGCGAATACCAAACGGACCCCTCTACATCGATATGGACGGTTTCAGGCTCAGCCGGAACTTCACACTGGAGATGTACAGAAGCGATCTCAAGTACCAGCCTCGGCCGGACGACATGTTTGTGGTCACCTTTCCCAACTGCGGTACCACCTGGACTCAGCACATAGGGTACCTCATCTTCCACAAGGGAGTACCCCCGCCCAGCGAGCTCGACTTTCTCAAGAGTAGTCCCTTCCTGGAAATGCTGGGTGCGGATGCCATCAAAGCCATGAAGCGTCCGGGGCTCATCAAGACGCACTTGCCGTACGACTTGATGCCTCAGCACGCTCAGGCAAAGTACCTTTACGTCTGTAGAAATCCCAAGGACGCCTGCGTCTCTTTCTTCCACCACACACGCGCGTTTGCAGGCTACGAATTTTCTGATGGAAGGTTTGAAGACTTTTTTGAAGTATTTATGGAGGGAAAAAACGAGTACGAGGATTATTTTGAGCACGTCCTTTCCTGGTACTCGCATCGCAATGACCCCAACGTGTTGTTCATCCACTATGAGGACATGAAGAATGACACCAGGAAGGCTGTCCTGGAAATCGCAGAATTCCTCGACAAGGATCATCACAAGTTACTCGTCGAAAACGAAGAGATGCTGAGGAACGTGATCGAGCACAGTGACATCAAATCCATGAAAGTGGCCGCGGTCGAAAACTTTGAGAAGTTTTTTGCAAACCCCCTTGAAGAGGACGACGTTCCAGCTGGACTGAGAGCTTTCCATGAGGCCGCAAAGCGTCAGCCGAATGCAGGATTTATTCGCAAAGGAATTGTGGGAGATTGGAAGCAACACTTCAACGCCGACATGAACAAAAGGATGGAAGAAAAAATTTTAGCTAAGCTTTCTCAGACGGATCTTATTGATATATGGAAGAAATACGGCATAATGTGATTTGGTTGTATGTTCACTACCTTGCTATCTTGGTTGCGTCCTGAACTTTATTTTTTTTAATTTATCTTCTAAGATATTTGAGGTATCCGTAAGCTAATCTATCGCACATGAACTGTCAGACTCGTGCACATACTTGTATAAAAAGCTTGTCGTAGCGTCGCCTGTATAAATAACTCGACCACTAATCTCGGCAAAATATACTAGACCAGGTGGGGCTATTAAATAACAGGACTGGTGGCAAAAGTGTATTTTATTATTACGGTCTTAATACTTAATTAACAGTTTTATTTTTCAACGTATTCCCCTCCCATATCTATGCACTGTGGCATACGAAGTTTCCATTGTTGAAAGCGGTGCAGTAGGTCATCATATGTCAAGCTCGTCAGCAGCGCTGGCGTTTCTTCCTTTACCTGGTCCACAGTGCGAATATGGAGTCTTTTTAGTGTAGATTTTACCTCCGGACACAAGTATCTCACTCCGGGCTAAATTGGGCTAGTCAGGTGGGTGGCCCAGCGCTAGGATGTTTTTATTTGCCAGAAAATACTTTATGGAGAGAGCACTGATGCAGAATCCACGCGTTGTTTTTACGCAACATGGGCTTTTTTTCGCATTTGTTCTCCCAGCTTTGATAGAACTTCGATATAATGCTGCTGATTAATTGTCTGACCATGTGGTATCCATATACGCATGAACACTCTATTAATGTCAAATAAAATAAACAGCAACATCTTGTAAACTTTGAGAAGGGGAACGATAAAAAAACGGACGAACACAACAAAACAGCACTGCGTTCACTTTCGACTTGCTCATTCTTGCCTTTTTAATATTATCGACGCGGGATCTTTCCAGTTCTTCGGCTGCATTTTTGGTTTCTGGGTCGTACTGTACTAAAAAATCCACGTCCCGTCACATGCGATGATATTTTCCAGTACATCAGGTTCCGCGGCGAATATTTTAGAAAGTCAGTTCAAATTTGTTCCTGGTCTGCTTTCTGGGTTTCTACTCCTGACGGTGTTTTTGGAATCATATTGGCGCAGACTAGTGCCTGCTCATTTTGTCATGTAAAATATGCCGTGCAGTTTCTTTATCAATATGTACCGTGTCGGTAATTACGCGAATACTTAATCCACGATCCTTGCGGGAACTAATTTGGTTTGTTGTTGTGACAAGGCTACTCTGTCGTTCGTTTTCGCAACGCTTTATTGTCCCGTGTTAAATCGTCTCTATAATTCAAATGCTCAACTGTGCGACATCACATTGTCGCCGTATACCTCCTGCAACAGTTACAAACACTCACTCGGCGATTTGTTTATATTTTCAAGGAATTTGATGTTGATCTGCTGCCCTGTTTCAACATCAGCCAAATTGTCTCCTTTTTTTTCACGGCTCATCTATTCTTAAAATCGAAACAAAAAAAAAAAAAAAAAAAACATGGACGACAAGCACAGGATAACCACGTGGTTGTCCTGTGCTTATCCTCCGTGTTTTAATTTTTTGATTTTAAGAATTCATGTTCAACTCGCTCGATTTTACCAGTTCATCTATTCTTGCTTGTTTCGTCCGGATTGCCTCGTCTGCAACGGCTTTTCTGTTCTGAAACCGGTTTGCGTTGTCTACTTCTAAATATTTCAAGGTTACTCAAATTGCAAACACTTCTCACTGCTATAAGCATACCGCCGACAACACGTCAGTCTTGTTATTTAATAGTTACATATCGCATGTTTTGTAAAAACTAAAAGATCACTGACACCCTAAAAGTGCTGTTTGTTATAATTGCAGACAACCGTGAGTTATCCCTCACATCATCTTCAAAATTTAAAATACAAAAACTGTAATGATTAGATTTAAAAAAAAACTAGAAAATAGACAGATTTCATTTTGCCTTTCTACTCGGTGCCGAAAAGATGCATTCCCTGCATTGTTGGAGGGCTTTAAAGGGAAGGGCGGGAGCTGGCGGGAGCTGGCGGGAAGTGTTGCTTAAATTTCCCTGTTTATACTATTTCTATCCCTTGTGTGGGCGCCAGCCAACCGCGGGCCCGTTTGCTACGCGCGTGCCTTATCTTTTTTCTGCGAGTGCAGAAAGCCCTCCATTTTTCAGCTCGAGTCTCGTTCTTGAACTGTTCTTTGCATTAGTTTCTTTTTTTTATTATTAGTATTAGGTTTGGTGTGCATTCGTGATTGTTGCAAAATTACAGATCAATGTAATAAATTATTTCTTGTGGCATGCAATGTGTGAAACTTTTGAAGTTCTGAATAATGTCTTTTCCATATTCATTATAACAAACAGGAAACCAGGTGGAGTACGGTGGAGGAGGCCGATAACTGATGGGCGCCTTTGAGCACTCGAAATCTTTTCTTCGTGATTCAGTTTCTTTGCACTTAGATTACGCCGCCTTGAGGCGTTTGAGGCAATAATAAAGCTAATTTTGGAGTTATCAATACATTTTCAACGCCACAATTAATAAAAAAAGACTTGTGCTAAAATTGAGGACGCATGAATAACTTGCATATATTAAAAAAATAATAGCACTTGCCAGCGATCGTCGAAACCTTAAAACCACATATTTATTTAAATGTTTTTTTTCTCTAATATATCTGAACAGACTAAAATTATAAATTGCAAGGGACAGGCAAAGAATTGAATTAGACCGGACAGCACTATACTAAAAACTGGCAGTTTAATAAAAAATCTAAGGAAGATAAGAAAGTAGTCTTCTTCATGCCCTTATCTGTCCCTTGCGCTTTATAATTTCAGTGTGTTTAACCAACTAGCCCATCTCAATATTTTAGTACATCTAAACAGAACGTATCAAAAGAAACAATTATTTTGTTTATACGACTATCATGTAACGAGATAAAGCTATTGGGGAAACTGTAAACGCACCACTGCAAAAAAAGAAAAATTTACGTTAATAACATATGGAAATGGTGCAGTCATCTTGGTCTTCAATATCATAGCTTACGTTAAAAGCATATCACCTTTGACTAATCCACCCCCAATCCCCTACTCTTTTAATCTCCCTTTTAGAAAAAAATTTAGTGTGCGTTTTATGGCATAGGACTAGTAAAAACAAGATAAGCTTTTCAACAATTAGCACAATTCACAGATTTGGTAAAGTATGACGGTATATATGACTGTTATGTTGTCATATTACGACTTCGAGCAAACCTCTTAATTTTCCGTTAGTTGCAGGCTGGTATCACCCTCATTTGTTTCCAAGAAGCACCAAGTCAAATACGTACATTTAACGGGCGTAGAGCGGATTTAGCTCCCGAATAACAGGAACGCTGGAACATATGTTGCTCCAACTCCCTCGTCACGATTGTGGTCACGGTCTCACGGAAGCAGCGATGCCCCTTCACGTATCAACAGAGAACCTGGCAACATGTTCAAGCCGCTGGTGCTCAGCGACATCTCAAATACCGGAGCGACATCGACAACACGTCCCGCCCCCACCTACGAAACTACAAACGGGCGGCGTTGGCTGCTCAGCGTCAGAGGGCATGGTGGCACTTCACCGGGAGCGATGGATAACCCTCTAATGTTTTTCATGCAGGTGAGTAATGATGGCGCCCAGTATTGTAAACGTACAAGCAACATTTGCGTTTTTTCGCCGCCATGCCATCGGACGTGTGTATTGTTGTTGCAGGAGTGTATTGATGTCACTTTTGACCTATTGTAATGCGGGGACATTAAATCGAATCTGGGACCTGATGAGGGAGGCACTGATACCCCACTTACGACGGAGGAAATGGTGAAAGCTTTTCTGGTTACACAAAACGTGATTATAAATGATCTCGGAGTAATAAAAACTAGCCAGCAACAGTTTGAAAGCAAATTCGACAGCTTAGTTAAAAGGGTTGAACAGATTGAAGTAATAGTCCAAGACACAAACGAGGTTAACGATCAAGTCGTAGGTCTTCAACAAAGCGTCACGTCAATGCAAGAAGACTTTTTTGAGTGTCAGAGGAACCTTCACAGTTTGGAAGATTATAACCGCCGCAATAACCTTATGGTTTTCGGGATTCCGGAAGACAACAATGAAACGCCAGATACGTTAAAATAAAGGTACAGGATGATGTTTTTGAAGAAACGCTTGGAATTCGTGTTAACACTGTCGAACGCTTGCATCGCGTTGGGCGAAAAACGAACAGGAATCGACCTGTCATCGTTAAATTCTTGGATTCCGTAGAAAAAGATAATCTTCTAACGAAACGCCGACTACTGAAAGGGATTAAGATAACAATGCAACACGACTGCTCCTGGGTGACACTTCAAAGACGCAAGAAATTGTGGGAATGCAGCAAGCGGCATCGTGATAACGGTGAAAACGTTTCTTTTTCTAAATCATGACAGGATAAAGATAGGCGACAGTATTTTTGTGGGATGATATCAATGGGCAGATGTGTAAAGCAAACAAACAGCAAACTCACCCTAACAAAAAGTGATGCCACAAATCAGTTAGTAAGCGCCCGCTGAAATTATTTAAGATATTGAGCTTTAATGCTAGAAGTATATTAAATAAAGTAGACGTTCTAGAAATTATCTTGTTGTTTCATGACCCTCACATTGTTGTTATTACAGAGACGTGGCTGCACGGTGGTATTGGGGAAAATGAAATTGTCCCACCTCCATACAAAATGATTCGGAAAGACAGAGTATCAAGAGGCTATCGTTTTTAAAGACACTGTAGATTTGGTTCCAATAAATTGCCTTATCAACGGTGAGGTATTATGGTGTAAAGTAGCAATCGACGGAAATACATTTAATATAGGTGCCATTTGTACGCCCCCAAACACAGCGCCAAAGTTTTTAGACGATTTATGCGACTACATGGCTCTACAATTCACCGACAAAGCTAAAATTATTTTGACAGGGGACTTTAACCTGCCCGGTATTAATTGGACAACTAGTCAAGTGGATAAAAATGAGGTACTGTCCTGAGAACTGCTTCTTGATATTGCTCTTCGTTTCAACCTGAGAGAGTTAGTGAGCGGTCCGACCCGAGAAACAAATACTGGTCAAGCAACGTTAGACTTATTTTTTGTTAGCAATATGGTTTAAGTGGACGAGATTGATATTATAGATGGAGTGTCAGATCATAAGATGTTGATATTTTCATCGCAACTCTCGAAAAAAAACATCCCAAAACACCCGTCCAGAATATTTTGTTCACGATTTCCAAAACGCGGATCATCTGTCTGTTCTTGACTACTTAAAGAGCATTTTGATCATTTCAGTCCTCTATCTGATGTAAACGAGCTGTGGAGAAAGTTTAAAAATATTGTATCCCACTGTATATGTCGTTTTGTTCCTTTAAGGAAAGTGAGAGGAAAAAGGAGGCATCCTTGGATAACGAGAGAAATTCTGCAACTAAAACGAAAGATAAAACTCCGAAGAAAAAACAAAGTTAGAAACACCACTGAGATAGCGAATTTAGGACGACAGTTAAAGGATCTTGTGATGCAAGCAAAGGAAAGCTACTGTGGTAATGTGCTCTCACGGTTCTTGAGGGAATCCCCGCAGAACTTTTGGCGTTTCTCTTCGACTCCAGAAAAAGAAATTGCGCAAGTTTTAATCAATAATCAAGTTGTCTCTTGTCCTTCTGCGATTGCCGAAGAATTCAACAAATACTTCCAGTCTGTCTTTACGGTGTCACGTGACCCACCGGTAGACCCTGTCGTCGTACCCAACGACTCCCAAACGCCAGATTTGGTATTGTCTGAAAGTGGTATTTTTAATTTACTCTTGAATATAAACGATAAAAAAGCATCCGGAGCAGACATTATCCCCAACGTATTTCTGAGAAGATATGCAGGGTGGGTTTCGCGGTATTTATATTTAATTTTTCAAGCGTCCCTTCTTCAGAGCAAGTTACCAGAAGACTGACTTTGTGGGAAAATTGTGCCCATTTACAAGTCCGGAAACAAGATGGACATTTAAGATTATCGCCCCATATCATTAACAACGACATGCAGCAAACTTTTAGAACACATCATTTCTAAACATATAAATAAATACTTAGAGGAAAATAACTTACTGTGTGAACACCAGCACGGGTTTCGTCAGGGTCTTTTGACAGTCACACAACTAATATAGTGCACACATGAGTTTGCATCAGCATTGGACAAACAAAGTCAGGTTGACGTAATATTTATGGATTACTCTAGAGCATTTGACCGGGTACACTAGGACAAATTAGTACAAAAATTAAACTTATTGGGATTAAATCAGGTTTTATATATCTTAGATACGTTCTTATTTACAAGGAAGAATGCAGTATATTAGCTGTAATAAAGTTTGCTCTCCTCCGTTAGCAGTTTACTCAGGAGTACCCCAGAGATCAGTTTTCGGACCCCTTTTATTCTTAATTTGTATAAATGATATAGCCACGAATTTCCCTCACTCGGTTCAAGTTAAATTGTTTGC